ATGGCCTTGTAGTCCATAGAACTGTACTGACTTCAGCTTGGGGCTTTCCCACAGTCTGTTCCCCCTTTCCCCAAGCAAAATAAGATGGATTTTTTTTTTTCATGTAAGATAAATCAGTGCTCCATGACAAGCGTGCTTTCTTCCTCTTATTCCTTTGCACTTGTTGGCTCTGGATCTTTTAAGCCTCTATCTTTGTCTCACAGAGTAAAAATGATAGGAGAATGAGAAATCAATTAGGTAGCAAGAAAATAACCATAGCTAAAGTAAAGCAATTACACCAGGGCTAAAAACCTTTCCCAGCAACAGTTAGACAGTTGTGTCAAGTAAATTTTGAAACAACAGGAGTTGTGTTGACCCAGAGAAACAGTGTATTGCCATTATTGTCAGTCACTGTGGTTTCAGATCTTGGCAGCCTGATTTAATTAATGACAGAACAGCTAAATCTTTATCCATACACAGCTGTCAAGACAGTTTGCCACTGACAATACAACTTCCTTCCTCTCTTTCCCCCCCTCTCTGCCTTTCTTCCTTCCTTCTTTCCTTTCACATATATTTATGGAGTATCTACCATATGCCAGAAACTGATCTAGGCACTAAATAACCAGAAATTTACATACTAGGGGTGTGTGTATCTGTGTGTGTGAGAGAGAGAGAGAGAGACGGAGTGACATGACACTTCTGTCTGATTGATGAAGTTCATCAGTCAGGTCTGCATTGTTTATTTAATCAAACATTTATGAAGTGTGCGTTATGTGCTGGGTTTGGAGTCTAGAGATTAAGAGACAAGAGTCCATGTACTCAAGAAATGTAGCCACACTAGCAGGCAGTGATTCTCCCATGAAGCCTTAATGCAACATGGACAAGCTGAGGCGGGATGCGGCCTAGGATTGGCAGGGGCAGCTCCGTGTGGGGTTTGGTATTTGAGATGAGACAGAAAGAATGTGAATCATTTTGCCAGAAGCAAGGCAGGGTGAGTCTGGAGGAGTGCTCAGGCATAAGGAATGATGTGCACAAAAGCCCAGGGGTGAGAGGACTGTGGGGTGTCCCGGAAACAAGAGATGGCTTGTTCTGGCTGCAGTAGTGGGTGCAAGGAGAGTGTGTGAGCAGCTTCTCCAGGAATAGCCATGGAATCTGAAAAGGACCAGCGATCTGTCTTAGCAGATATTAAATGTATATAAAGCTACAGTAATGAAAACAATGTGGTGTTAGGGGCAGAAAAACCACTAATTTAGTTATTTGTGTGTTTTCTCCTTTTCTTAATTATGTCAATCACTACAAACTGGAAACAAAATGAAACCGTATTCAAAGTGAAGAAACAAACGACCAACTGGGAAATTTTTGCAATATATTAAAAAAGGAAAAGGCTATTGCATAAAGAATTCTCTAAAGATAGAGAATAGAGAAAATAAAAACAGAATAAAGTGAAGGGAATAGAAAGCTCAGAAACAATAAGAGCGTTTATAATATAAATATGCATATCATAAAATTACCACTTCATACCGTAGAGAAAAGATAAATCATTCAGTAAGTGATATTGGGACAAATGACCCAGCTTTAAAAAAGAAAAATTTAACTTAGATCTCTAATTCATATTACATAAAAATCAAATTAAACATCAAAATCAAATAAAAAATATTTTAAGGTGATATTTTTAACATGCTCTCAACACTGAAATTATTTTCAAATAATTAAAATGATAAATCATTAAAAAGTTAAAGTATAGATAAGTTGGTGAAAGGGACAATTTCCTAAGAAAGAAAAGAAATGAAAAAATGTTAAAAAAATTGTGTGTAGATGTGAATACACTAAAATATAAAATGCTTATATATTACAGAAAAGCCATATACATTTCATTCATATTTTCACATGCATTTATATAAAGTTTTGCAAAGTGCTTTCCTATGATTCTTTTTTTAAATCGAGTCATTTGACTTTCTAATTTAGGTATTCATGATTTCTCTCCTTAATTATGTCAGTCTTATTAACTGAAAGCAAAATAAAATCACATTCAAAATGAAAAGGCAAACTAGGGACAAACTAGGGAAATATCCTAATCGTATAAAAACAGGAAAAGTTTTTATATAAAAAATATCTCTAAAGAGAGAGAATAGAGAAGATAAAATAAAATGGAGAAAAATGGGTAAAAGAATACGAATAGGTAATTTACTTAAAAAACAAAAATAATAACGAACATATAAAATGTGTTCAACCTCATCTGTGATGAAAGAAATGCGAATTAAAACAACTATAGTATATATGTATTTTTGCCTATCAATTTGGTAAGAATATACATATATATGTATGTATATATCTGTATATAAATGTATCACGCATGAGGGACAATAAAGCATGAGGCATGGTTAATAAAGAGCATGAACACCTTATCTGTGTTGTTTCTTTTGTCTACTCAGTCTTGGAATTAAGAATTTAATCTTATCTGAAAGAGTCACTAGCAACAGAATCAAGCTCAGGGTACCCAAGTGTGATTAAGAAAAACAACAACAACAAAAAAGAGTTGAGCTTTAGCTCTGAGAGAGATGAAATTATAGCAACTTATCCCTCAACTAGCTGGCAAACAAATTCTTCACAAAACTCCATCTGGGCCTGGTCTTGGTTCAGGAAGCGGGGAGTTGCTATGCTGCATCCCCCAGAGAGAGGCTTTCTCTCCCGCAGAAGCCTGACCATGGAAGAGGAAGAGGGAAGATGATGGCTGAGCAGGTGGGAAATGCTTCAGGGAAGCCCAAGGACAGACAGAGCAAGGTCACTCTGAATTTTCATGGTTCTACCCCAGCTGGAAGCAAGGAGCAAGGAGCAGGGTTTACTGAGGCCTTTGTCTGACAAGGGCTGAGTGATTTTGAAATCATCCCCTTTAATCATTAAATGACTTTGCGTTTTCCAAGGACACTACAAAAATGCGCAAGTTGGGCCGTAGGCAAGTTGGAGAAGAAGAGGCAGCTCGAATTAATGGGGGAAATTTCATACAGTGAAAGCCCCGCATGAGGGATCTGGCCAGACAGCAAGTTGGGAGCCTGTGGTTCACGGCTGCATCTGCCCTGCTGAGCAGGTGTTTTGACTGATTTCAGGAGCTGATGGGAAATTAATCAGGAGAGAAGCAGGGACATTTGCTGCCACCCAAATCGATGTGTCAGTTGCCTGTGACGGCATGAGCCACTTCCTTCCAAATACTTTCTTACCGCTGCAACTGGCTTCTTTCCTCTTCCATGGGCTTCTTTTAATGTGGCTGTTACTTACCTTTGATTGATTGTCTCAATAACCTTCACCTTCCCTTCAGGTTTCCCCCCAGATTCAGCTTGGTGGAGAGGAGAGCAGTAAGTTGAAATACAATATAGATGTTAACTTGTAGATTCAGCAGAGATGACTGGACAATATCCAATCTCAGTAAGGCTGAGGGGCTAACAGTGGGAATCACTCTGCTCCTGTCCAGCTCGACCTCTGCTGCTGACGGAGAGCGAGTCATTTTGCTTCTTTTAGCCCTAAGTCTACTCGTGAAAAGTTTAGGGGCTGGACTATCTGGTGGATAACATTTTTCCAGCTTTAGTATCGTAAGGGACTAAAGACGAACAAAGAGCAAGAACAAGAGACTCCTATAACGTCAGAAAACACTTGAAAAATACGCAGCCGCTTAATCTAAGAAATGCATATTGAAACAATGAGATACTTTTTTAAACCTCTGTGGTCAGCAAAGACTTAATAAAGAAATGATACCACCTTCCTCTGGGTCAGGGGAGGAAAAATGAGAGCTCTTGTTTGCTGTTGGCAGGAATACACATTTTTTAATAGGGCAGTTTATGCATGTGCATCAAAAGTCTTAAAATAAGCATCATCTGTGATCTAGCAATTCCATTAGAATGAGTTCTGAGGAAATAATCAGAGACTCATGAATAATTCTAAGTACAAAGATTTTTATCACAGCATTATTTATACTATTGAAACCCAAAGGCTGATCTTCCTTTGCCCAGGACGAATTACGTGACACTCGATGGCAGGCTTGGGGACACTCAGAAGGTGCAGGATGAGCAAGACCCTTATACATACTCAACATGCCAGGTATCTCCCTGCAATTATTCCTGATCCCATCCACCCGTGCAGAGCCACTCTTTCAGAGATGATCCTGCCATGTGACCAAGGGAGACCCTGCCTTGTCCAGGTGGTTGTGGTCTTCTTTGTTGAAAGACCATCTTTGGCCCACCATTGGCTGCGGGACAAAGGGAACATACTGTGGCTTGGGTCCTAAGACCCTTCACAATTGAGTCTCACCCCATCCAGAAAGAGCTTATTGCCAACTTCTTTTGCATCGGCACTGCCTGCCTGTCCTTTCCTGTCACCATACGCACTCTGACCCCCGGTTACCAGGGAGACTGCTTTCTCTCCACCGTCCCCTTCTCCTATCTGAAGCCTTCCTTCCTTCAAAGGATGCTTCCAAGAAGTGTTCCCTGCCATTATGTGACCTCATCGCGTACATTGTCTAGCATATTTTTGTGTGTACTGCATTGTTTTGCTCAGTTTTGTTTCAAGTTTTTCTGTCTTTTCGATTATAAGATCTCTGAAACTGGTACTACGTCTTACATTTGAAAGGTTGCATGATATAGGAGAAAGAACAGGATATGGAATCAGACAAACTTGGGCTTAAATCCTGCGTAATGTTTGGTAAGTTACTTAACCTCTCTGAGTTTGAGTTTTATCATTTATAAGATGGGGATAATCGTTATTTCACAGAGTTGTAGTGTGGTTGATGAGATCAATGTTAACCACTTGGTACAATGCCTGCCCCACAGCACATACTCAGAAAATGTTAGTTCCCTCCTCTTTGTCCCACTTTGGAGCAGTTGAGCTTAGCACATAGCATCTTTAGATAAAATCTTGTCACCTAGCCCGTTCTCCAAAGGACACGAGGGGCAATGAGTGACCTGTAGGGGAGGACAGCAGCAGTTGGCGACCCGGGAGAGCCCCTGTATGGGTCTGGCCCGCTGGCCTCTTACCTGATGATCGTCAGGGGGATGAATACACCAGGAAGGCCACGATGGTCATGTATGGGGTCCGGTAGGAGTCGTCGGGCCACAGGGCCCAGCACTGCACTTCACCATTGGAGAGTTTCCTTTTCCCAAATATGATAAGGGTGGGAATGGAGAACAGGAAAGAGAGGCTCCAGGCAATCATGCTGAGGACCTTGGCCTGCTTTTCTGCTCAGAGAAAAGAGAGGGATGCTTGGGCATCTGGAAACATCCTTTGGGAGCACGCTTGGCATCTAGTGTGGAAAAAAAATCATGGTGGAAGAGGGATTCTGGAACTCTCAGAGCCTCAGTTTCCTCATGCATAAAATGGGGATAATAGGGCCAGCATCTAAGGCTGATGCAGGGATTAAAAAGAGTATGCTTACACAGAAGCTAGAACACTGCCTGGTATAAGGTCAGTGTTCCCCAGTTTCTTCTCTTTTTCTTCCCCGATTTACCTGCTTGATTGAGATGTTGATGCACCCATTCCTAAAGTACTACGGAGCTCAGTTTGTACCGCATACATTTGATAGGTTGCTGTGCGAATGCTTGTCTCTTGTGCCTTGCCCATCCTCAAAGGCAGGGATGGGACTTTGGTCTGTCTGTCATCCTTCTCTTGTACCTGGCACTGTGAACCAATGTGACAGTGTTTGAAAGCTGTTTGCCAAATGTTAGGTAGCCTTCTTTTATTTGAAGGAACAAGGGAGGAATTGTAAGGCAGAGAAAGAACACTGGACTTGGTTCTGGAGAGCAGGGTTCATTCAAACCAAGCCCTGAAGTCTGGTAGATATGACCCTACACACTAGATCTGGGCTCTTTCAGATGTGATATTTTGACCTTGGGCAAATCACTCAGTTTCAGCCTGAGTTCTTCTCTAAAGTGGGATTAAAAAAAAAATACACACTCTGCTTACCTAATCAAGTCATGATGGGGCTAGAGAGAGACAATTAGTATACATGAGAGTAGTTTTTGAAGAGTTGTTTTGATGTGATGCTTTCTGTTAAGCTGTTGTTGAAGGTCTTCATGTTCATCCCCATTGTAGCTGTGCTGACTGGTCCTGGCCGCCCTTCTTCACCCAGGGACAGGAGACCTCCCTCCACCTTCCAACTTTCAAATTGGAAAGCAGGTGCATGTTTCTGGGTGGGGAGGGAAATGTAGAGTCTGGTGGTATCGTAGAGAGGTGTGTAGGGTGTGGTCAAGGAGCTATGAGAAGTGAGAACAATTCTAGAAGAAACTAGGGACTCTAGTAGAATCTTCAGTCCCAAATACTTGGGAGAATAATATCTAGGGTTCTGTTCTTGCTGAATTGTCACTCTGAAAAGAGTTATTAGAAAGATTTAGAAAACAGAACTGAACAAGCAGGAACCTTGGGGTGGAATTATAATACAGTCTTTTTAGGTCTCTCCGTCGTCCCCGTGCATGGATCCAGTGATCCAGTGGAGTGGGAGCTCTTCTGCTCCTGTTTGAAAACTCAGCCCCTTGATGTCAGTGATAATTAGGTAGTTTAAAAGCCCCTGCAGCTACCTTACGTGGTAAAAAGTGCTTCAATATAGTAATGAACTTAAAAATTAATAAGTAGATAGGCTTCACTGGTGGCGCAGTGGTTGAGAGTCCGCCTGCTGATGCAGGGGACACAGGTTCGTGCCCCGGTCCAGGAAGATCCCACATGCCGCGGAGCGGCTGGGCCCGTGAGCCATGGCCGCTGAGCCTGCGCGTCCGGAGCCTGTGCTCCGCAGCGGGAGAGGCCACAACAGTGAGGGGCCCGCGTACCGCAAAAATAAATTAATTAATTAATTTAATTAAATAAATAAAAAACACGGACAAAATAAAAATTTTCCATGGTTAGACTAAACTCCAATTTTTCAAAGTATTAAGTATTTAAATTGTTTCCAATTATTTTGTATTATAAATAATTCATATGCATCTCTTTGCACTGCTCTGGTTATTTCCTTAGGATTAGAAACTGAAGATTTGGGCAAATATAGCTGTTTCCCCCAAAGTGTCTACAATTTATGGCTCCCACTGGAAGTGTACAGAAGTGTCCTTTTCCTTAGAGTCGCCCAACACTGAGGATTCTTCCTCTTAGTCTAGTTATCTTGTTGGTAAGATTTCCTATCCAAAAGTTTAATCTTGCAATTCTTCAATTAGCAGAAACAATAAGGGAAATAAAAATAGTTTTTACTAAATAAAAAGTTTAAAATTATTTATAAATAGTAAACATTGTAAACATACTTAAAAAGCAAAATGACAAATAGGAAATATTTGTATATGACAAGCAAAGGACTAATATCCTTCTTATAAAGAACTCTGGCAAAGAAATAAGATCACACCAATTGAAAAAGTGGGCAAAGGACATGAAAAAATTTTGAGAAATTTTTAAGAAACAAAGCGACAAGTAAATGAACGATATATAGAAATGATCTTTTTGACTACTAAAGAACTGCAGGATTTCTTTCCTAGAAAGATATTTTCCTCACCAAAATGATAAACGTTTTACTCATACCCATACCCTCTTAGGTTTAAAAGTTTTGCTTTTTCAATCCAGCTGGAATTTACTTTGTAATTAACTGTGACATGTAGTGATCTATTTTTTTTAAATGGCTAGACAGCTATTCTAACACCATACACTGGCAAATTCATTCTTTTCTAACTGATTTGGTATTCTATATGCTTTAGATAGGTTCCAGTATCATATTGTTATAATTATCAAAGTTTTATATTATATTTTCATACCTGGCACTATATATCTCTCTTCATTATGGGTTGATGGTTTTCTAATTATTCTCACAGTTATTTGTACTAAAGAGCTTTAAAACTGACAACTCCTCTGGAGTTGCTGGCTAAGGAAATAACCACTTTAGTAAAAAGCAATAAAACATCAGTAAAAATGTGCCGCCCCCCCCCCCCCCATTTCTGCTCCCTTGGTTTTGTTACCATTGCCATGTGCTTGCTCAGCCACAGGAGAGTTCCTCCTGGTTTCCACTGGCTCCATTTTCTGTGCTGCTCTGTGGGGAATCTCTTTCTCCCACCTTCTCTCAGCTCCGTCACATAAACCCCCAACCCTGCCCCTCACAGCTGCCCTTACATTCTAACGTGCTGGAGCAGCAAGTTGACTCTAGCCCAGGGTTCCCTGGACCTTCTTACACCCTGTTCCACCAACTACCACATCCTATAACCGTGCAGATCTTTTCAACTTCCTGCAAGGCCATGCAGCTTTCCTAGGGGGCTTGGCATCCTTGTTAATGTTTAGTCTGCTCCCTGCGTGCTGGAAATTCCTTGAAGTTTCTGGTCTTTGGATGGAGTCTTTCCTTGGCTCCCATCCCCGCTGCAGGTCTCCTATTTGTAGGCTTCTTCCATGACTTCAGTTGGGATTGGGCAGAGGAAGGGAAAATGGCTAATTTCTCTTTCCAGGCTTGCATCTTTCCCTGAAGCTATTAGAGATGATTATTTTCCAAGTGCCCTAAATGAAGCGTCTATTAATTTTATAGTGAGGAAGTAAATTGCTTTACATCTTTTAAAGAACACTATAATATTCATTCCTGCCTTTCCTGTAATTTAGGACATGATTTATAATATTGCACAGTATCTCCCAGAACCAGTCATATTTCCCATAAGCTAAACAGTTGATTAATTTTTATCTAATGAATACGGTGGTGAGACATGTAACTGACCATGTTTCCCTCTTGACTGTGGATCCCAAAGCCTCGACCTCCAGCAAGTGTCCTGGGACACCCCTCACATGTTTTCTTATACTTATGTTCACTTTACTCCTATTTCTTCGCCTTGAAATACTCTGGTGTGGGTGTCTTTTTGTACACCAAATGCAATCCTTCCCAGAGCCTGCGGGACGTAACTAAGTGGTTGGATGAGTAAGAGTATCACACTTTTGCATACATATATCATAAGATGTCTCTCCCATTTATCCTCATGCCCTCCCCTGCATCCTTCTCTGCTGGAGAAGATGCTAGAGCATGACACTGTCTGGAAAGCTTGGTGCGAATTGCACACCTTCCTACACTCACACAACCTAAAAAAAGCCTGAGAAACAGGTATAAATTCGATCTTAAAATTACTTTCAATTGCACACAACACACTGATATGTTTCTGGTATAAAAATTCCCTAAAGGCATGTAAGTCCCTGTGTTCTCTATGGACAGTCCAGCTCCCATCCCCAGACGTGAGGACCAGTTGGTGTACATTTTTGCAGGCAGTTGTTTATTATTCTGAGACCTCACTTTTTCTTGCATTCTCTCACACTCTTCTCTCTCTGTCTGTACAGAATATCTAGCATTGTTTTGAGTTTTTCTTTACAATAATGTTATCATACAGTATGCATACTGTATGTATGTTGTTTTTATTACTCAATATATGATGTAGATATTTTCATGTCAATGCATATTACTCTCCATGGCTCTACCACCACCTCACTGAGAGACAGTAATGAAGGACACCTAAACTGAACCCCGACCGTCTGGGTTCAAATCCTGCCTCTGCACCTACTGGCTGTGTGACCTTGGGCAAACTGCTTTAACTCTTTGCATTGTAATTGCCCAGATTAAGACGCAAATAATAATAGAATTTACATCACAGAGCTGTTGTGAGGATTAAAGTATTTAACATATGTAAAGAACTTAGAATCATTAACAGCACATAGTATGCAATCGATGAACCTAATCTACTGAAACCTCTACATAGGATGCTAGCCTTTCCTCCATTGAGGGACACCAAGGTTAGCATTGAATTCCTGCTATTCTAAGCAATGCTGCAACACACAACACATGCGTGTGCATGCACACATGTGAGTATTTGTCCAGAGAAGATACCAAGAAGTAGAATTTCTATGTCAAAAGCCTGCACATTTTATATTTTATTAGATATTATTAAGTTGCCATTCAAAGTATCTGTGTCAGTACTGCCTGATGTATTTAGTCGTATCTGATGACATTAATTCTACTTATTCTAAAGTTCTGCTTGCTCTATTAATTTTGCTTTCTTAGCTGTAAATTCTGCAGAATGGTATTTTAAACGTATTATCTATTTTCCACAGTTTGGCTTTTGTCACATTTTTTGTGATATTTGATTGCACCTCATTTTTGTAGGCAAGGTTTCCTATTAGGTTCTTCATTTTATCATTTTCACAGCCTGCTTGGGAAAGTGTAGTATGTTGGCTTCTTATTTGCTTTTGGGGGTCAAAGAGGTAAGTGGGCTCTGCCTGTGGGTGGAGGAATGGACAGTTAGTCCTGTGACTAGGTACCCACCATCCCTCCAAGCTGCTTTCCAGGGACTCACTCTTGTTTCTCCAAATCCAATATCTCCACTACTTGGAAGCAGAGACCGCCATCCCTCCTGCACGCCTGGGAAGGGGAAGAGCAGTGGGAAGGGAGATGTGCTGTGATTAAATGTCCTCATTGTACTCCAGGAATCATCCTGCCAGTTTCCTTGAGTCCTTCTTGCTCTGGACATTTACATGATCTATTTAGGAAGACCTCTGCCATATTGCTGCATCAGCCTCTGTGTGTATTGTGGGTTGTGTGGTTTCAGCCTTCCCTCTGACCCATCTGCTTCCTTCTTTCAGGGATTCTTTGCCATCTCTGGGTCAAAGAGGGTTTTCCTTGTTTCTATTATAATTATAAATTAAAACATCTTTCCAATTATTTCCATGGTTTTAGGGTAAGGAGAGCAAGGTGCTTTTTTCTGCAAAGTAAGCAAGTAGAAGTGGGAGTGTTCATTAGTTTGGATAGGTATGCGTGTTGACACTGCTCTTAAAAAAACAAACAAACAAACCTGGCAGCGTCAGCGTCAAGGTAAGTGGTCACAAAGTAGGCCCAGCAAAGCACCTTTCCTAGTGGCTCTTGGCCTTCCATAGAAGCCATCAGCATTTTCCCAGGCACCCAAACTTTCTTTTCTACATCTTTTTGGACAATCAGACTCATGAAGTTGGGGAGGAAGTGGAAGAGGAGAAGGAGCGGGGAGGAAAAGACCGTTACTAAGAGGATAATGTTAGTGCAAACCCTCACCCAAGGATCGTACTTGTTTGAGCCAGCTCACCTCCTTGCAGGAGCTTCATGGGGTAGACGATGGCGTGGCACCTGTCTATGCTGAGGGACACCAGGACATAGGTAGGGGCATAGAGCAGCACAACCTGAAGACAGAAATGAGAGGAGGTGAGTGGCCTCACAGAGGTGAGGAAATGCACATCATGGAAAGAAGAGCATTTTGTGCTATTTAGAAACCTTGGCACTGAACCAAGGGATGGATGACGTTTGGAGTATGGACAGGAATGACTGGCTCGCATGTCAGGAAGAAGGTTGCTGTTCGTGGTGCTGGGATTTGCCCTGCTGGCTGTGACAGAGTGCTTCCGGCTCTCGCTTGCTCACTAATTCACTTGGCTTTTCGGAGACGCTGCATTTCTCCAAGGATCAGTCCCTCTTGACATTTGCGTGGTACGTGTGTTTGTAATTGACTTTTAAAGCTAAACTAATTTTCTCTGCCACAATTGACATTCCAGAATAATTAGAAACAAACATTCATTTGCCTTTTATCAATGTGAGTTGTTGAGAGATGATAGAAGGGATCTGGCTTCAGGGAGCCCATGTGCTGTTTTGAATCATTTATCACCATCTGTGCTGACACTCTCAGAGCTCCCCTTCCTCATCCACTTCTGCAGCAGGGCTGTTCACTAGGGTCAGCCCTTGGGTCCCCTATCCTTCCTTCCCACCCTCTCTTTTATTAAGCTCACCCATGCCCTTTAGTGATATTTGCATACTTTGCAGAGAAGGAAATTGGGATATAAGAGGTTGATATCTCTTCTGTGAAGAGCATAGTCAAAAGGTAATTAAATGAAATACCCCTGAAAGGATGATCAGGGTGGAAAATTTTCAAATAACTTTGAGCCTCATTTTCTACCAGGAGTCTAGCCATATCACTGCTTTGTAACCTTTGGGCCAAATTCAGAGTGGTAGAAAAGTAACTCGACGAGTGAACTCTAAGGGTGAGTGTCTGAATTTCTTCTAAGATGAAATAGAAATAACATGACTTTGGTAGTAACCTTTGTCCGAATTTGTATCTTTTTGTTCATTCCCTGGCTCGGACAAACAACGATCAGCTACATCGTTGTTCTTTATTATTTTTATCTCTGTAACACTACCACAAATGCATCCCAGCATCAGTGTTGTAGAAGGTGCCATAGGGAGGGCGTTCTGAAGACTGATCAGAGATTGAAGGCTCCCCTGAGGGATATAAGGAGAAATTCTCGTCTTGCTAAAAAGGCGGTGAACGGTCAGAGAGATAAATGATGGCCAAATTTTACAGCAACAAAAATAAGATGACTGTCTCCTTAGAGAAAACTGGGATTTTTATGTGGGATCCATGAATTCAGAATTGTTAAGTCTGGCCACACTCAGTTGAAGAGATGGCATCAGAGAAAGGATGGGAAGGAGAGCTCCCAAGGGCAGAACCCCATCGGGTAGAATGTTGTGATGAGACGGTCCTAAGAATGGCGGCATCCGCGGCTGTGTTGAGTGAGATGGCTCACACAAGTTCAGAATCTGAAGCAGGAGGAAAGGTCACAGTAGAGTGCCCGGAGGAGCAGGCAAAGTCAATAAAAAGAGATCTACTTTGAGATACAGTCAAAAAGAGTATTTAACTTCAGGAGTCTTCAAACATCTAGGCAGGGTGGGAGGGAGATGCAAGAGGGAGGAGATATGGGGATATATGTATATGTATAGCTGATTCACTTTGTTATACAGCAGCAACTAACACAACAATGTAAAGCAATTATACCTCAATAAAGATGTTAAAAAAAAAAAATAGAGTGATGACCAAACGTATACTGAGCAACTGAAAACTAAAAGAAGGCATTCATTACAGTACTACTGTTAGACAAATTAAATTCAAAGCAAATAGCACTACATGGAATAAAGGGATTATTTATAGTGATAATAGATACAAGGCACAATGGCAATAGAATATTAATAAACCTAAATGTAACAAGTAACATAACACTAAATATATAACTAAGATGTTCAAAGTTCTACAGAGGAAAAAAACAGTAATACACAGGTAGAAATAATTGAACAAACTGTAAGAATAATACACATTATTGTAAAATATCTAGGCAATATTTCAAAAATTAGTCATAAACTAAACTACCAAGAAGAAAAATCCTCAATAGATTCCCAAAAGTGGAATTTATACAATTCACATATCTAAAACAACAAGCAGTAAAAGCTGAAATTAGTATCTTCTTTTTTAAAAAATACCACTTGGAAATGTAAACACCCTTATAATTAACTTGAGTCAAGAAGGAAATTAAAGTATAATTATAGTCAATTCATAAATGTCAACAATGAAAGTTCTACATGTCAACAACATATGGGATACCATTTGTAGAACAGATGGCAGCTTGAGGACATATGTCTAAATTCTCACTACCCCACCCTCAATTCTGACAAAAATGACCTAGGAAATATGAAACCAAAAAAAAAAAATTCTTGCAGAAAAGTGAGACTTAAATGCAGAAAACTTAAAAATTTTTATTTAGAAAAATGCCAGATTGGATTCATTTAAAGTAGAATCTCTGGACTAACTTAAAAAAAAAAGTCAATATATTTTATTTTTTAGAACAATTTTACTTTTACAGAAAAAATTGAGCAGATAAGACAGAGAGTTTCCATATTAGCCCCCCTTCCCCACACTTTCTCCTCTTAGTAACATCTTACATTAGTGTGGTCAATTTTTTAAAAATTGATGATCCAATATTGATACATTATTATTAACTAAAGTCCAAGGTTTATATTAAGATTCGCTCTATGTGTTTTACAGTTCCATGGGTTTTGACAAATGCATAATGTCATTTAGCCATTATTACAGTATCATGCAGAAGAGTTTCACTGTCCTAAAAATCCCTTGTGCTTTATCTATTCAATCCCTCCAGATCCCTGGCAACCACTGATCTTTTTACTGTCTCCATGGTTTTTCCTTTTCCAGTGTCATGTAGTTATAATCATACAAAAGTAGCCTTTTTAGACTGGCTTCTTTCACCTAGCAATGTGTGTTTAAGATTCCTCCATGACTTTTCATGGCTTGATAGCTCATTTTGGCTTATATATCCATTCAGCTTTTGAGGGGTACCTTACTTTTAGATTCTGGCAATTATGAATAAACTGCTATAAACATTCTTGTGCAGGCTTTTGTGTGGATATAAGTTGTCAACTAAATTAGGTAAATACCTAGGAGCACAATTGCTAGATCGTATGGTAAGAGTATGTTCAATTTTATAAGAAACTATGAAACTGTCTTCTAAAGTGTACCATTTTGCATTCCCACAAGAAATGAATGAGACCTCCTATAGCTACACATTCTCAGTACCATTTCATATCTTCAATTAAAAAAATTTTTTTAGCCATTCTAATAGGTGTGTAGTGGTATCTCATTGTTGTTTTTCTTTGTAATTCCCTAATGCCGTGTAATGTTGAACTTCTTTTCATATACTTGTTTGTTATCTGTGTATCTTCTTTGGTGAAGTGTCTGTTCAGTTCTTTTGCCCATTTTGAAGAGGATTGTTTGTTTTCTTATTGTTGAGTTTTAGGATTTTGTTGTATATTTTGGATATAAATTCTTTATCAAATATATGTTTTGCATATTTTTTCCCATCTGTGCCTTGTTTTTCCAGTCTCTTGACAGTGTCTTTTGCAGAGAATAAATTTTAAATTTTCATAAAACCCCAACTTTCAATTTTTTCTTTTATGGATTGTGCTTTTGATGTTGTATCTAAAAAAATCATTGAAAGACCCAAAGTCCCCTAGATTTTCTCCTGTGTTATCTTCTAGTAGTTTTATAGTACTGCATGTTTCATTCCAGTCTGTGATCCATATTTAGTTAGTTTTTGTGAAATGTGTAAAGTTGGTTGGATTCTTATTTATTTATTTTTGCAAGTGGATGTCCAGTGACTCCAGCAACATTTCTTAAACAGGCTATCCTTTCTCCATTGAATTGTCTTTGCTCCTTCGTCAAAGATCAGTTAGACTTTTTGTGTATATCTGTTTCTGGGCTGTCTATTCTGTTCTATTGATGTGTTTGTTGATTCTTTTCCAATATCATGCTGTCTTGATTTCTGTAGCTTTATAGTAATTCTTGAAATCAGATAGTGTCAGTCTTCCAACCATGTTCTTCTTTTTCAATATTGTATCTGCTATTCTGTGTCTTTTGCCTTAAGCTTCAGCGTTTGTCCATATCTATAAAATAACTTGGTGGGATTTTGATTGGGATTGCATTGAACTCATAAATCACATTGGGAAGAATTAACATCTTAACAATAGTGAGTCTTCCTATCTATGAACATGGAATATCTATACATTTTAAGATATTGTTTGATTTTTTTTAAACAGAGTTTTTCCAGTTTTCTTCATATTGATCTTGCATATATTTTGTTAGATTTATACCTAAATATTTCATATATCTGGTGCTAACATAAATGGTACTGTGTTTTTAACTTTAACTTCCAATTGTTTATTGCTGGTATATGAAAAAACAACTGGCTTCTGTATACTAACCTTGTATTCTGCAACCTTTCTATTTTTCACTTAATTGTCTACGTAGACAAACTTGTCATCTGTGAACAAAGATGTTTTTATTTCATCTTTCCCAATCTATGTACCTTTCATTTCTTTTTCTAGTTCTTTTGAATTAGTTGGAACTTCCAGTATGATGCTGGATAAGAGTGTTGAGAGGAGACATCCTTGCCCTGTTTCCAATCTTAAGAGGAAAGCTTCTAGTTTCTCACCATTAAGTATGAGGTTAGTTGTAGGTTTTTTGTAAATGTTTGTTATCAAGTTGAGGAAGCTTTTCTCTATGCATAGTTTTCTGAGAGTTTTTATCATGAGTGGGTATTGGATTTTGTCAAATGCTTTTTCTGTATCTATTGATATGATCATATAATCTTTTCTTACCTTTTGTTGTTCTGAATTACATCAATTGAATTTTGAATGTTGAACTGGCCTTGCATACCTGGAATAAACCCCACTTGGTCATAGTGTATGAGGAAATAAGGAGAAGTCTGCAGTCTGGAAGGCGGCCCTTACCTGACCATGCTGGCACACTGATCTTGGATTTCCAGCTGCCAGAACTGTGAGAAATAAATGTTTATTTTTTTATAAGCCACCTACTCTGTGGTATTTTTGTTATAGCAGCCTGAATGGACTAAGACAGCCAGAATATGTCAAAAGGAATAGTAACCCAGAAATTTTACCTAATGCTTGAAATATGAATGTTTATGTTTTTATTGTTTCTTATTTGTATTTTCTTTATATAGATATTATTTTTAACAACTGAAAAAAATCTTAGAAATTTTGCTTCTCCTTTCAACTAGGAAGAAGTGAGCAGTTTGTTGCATCAGAGTGCAGGGTTTTATATTATCTTCCTTATGAAGAATCCAAGAGCAAATTTTGGTGCCAGTTTGTCTCATCACATTTGGAAGGTGCTCCATACCTGCAAATAGCGGACTACTCGGCAAACCAGATCAGGTGCCATGAAGTCTCCAGTGAATCCCCAAATGATATCTGTCAAGATGTTAACCAGTCCTGTGAAAGAGTCTAACAAAAACACACAAGTGGTTGATTTCAGCCTCTTTCAAATTTGCAGCTATGCTACAGTAGAAATGAATTCCTGGGGAGATTTTTTTTTTTTTTTTCTGATTTGTTAGGTGGCCATTGAGGGAATGTAAGACAAGGCAGGAGTTACTTGACTTTATTATTAGAGCCTCTCGCCACTCAGATGTAGCTACTTAGGAAGGAGTTTTGAAATGACTAAAGAGGAATTATATTAATCACAGAGTTGACCTTTTAAGTCAGAGGAGAGGAGTTTTAAAGGTGTTTAGACCTGTACTAAAACAAGGACTGTGTGAGGATCAATAAAGGGCAAAATTGAGAAAAGGAAAATATTTATTCTCATGAAGCCCCTCAAAATTTCCCTTTCTGCAGCCATCATTTTACAACTTGGACCTCTCATTACCTCCCTACATCCAGGTATGGCCCCCTTCCCCAGGTTCCTTGGCTTTCTTCTTCTTTCCCCTTTCAAATCCACCTTTGGAAAAAGTCAAGTGCATGATTTATCAATTTCATTGACTTAGTTGGTTAAACTACAGAGGAATTGAGGCCAAGATATGAGACCAAGGTTAGAGATTTTGTGCTCATTTCTATAGTTACAGACTATACAAGTTGTACGGATGTCTCCAGAAGCTATGGTAAAATATGCTATATGTCTAGAAGTTCCTTCTCCCCCCATCCCCATGACAAATATCTTTAATTGATTATGTGATCCAGAATCTTTCTCAAAACAGTGCTTCAGGGATTCTCTGCTGATTGATGAATAGGACTGGAACTTAAGACTTATCCACTGACTTAGGGTCACTTTCTTGGGAGATGAGTTATAACACTTTGTCAAGGACCTGAGAGGCAGAAGGGTAAATCTTCCCTTTCTGGATCTTCACCATTAATAGGGTAAAGTCTGAGCCCCTAGTTTAGCATCAAAGCCTTCCACGATCTGGTGTTGCCTACCTCTTGCCAAGTCCCCGGCTGGCATTTTTATATTGAACACCAGTGTTCTGCCTGTCTCTTCCTTTTTGTTTCTCTATAAGTAACAACAATTAGAAGCATTGGCAAGCACACGGGAACTACCAGAAAATTGTCAGAAAAATTGGAGGAGAGAAATCTCACGGCAGTTCTGGGTAGTCAGAGAAGTTCTAACTAAGAAGGTCAGATGAGAGCAGGGTCTTCAGAGTTGTGGGCTTGTGATTAGATCAAATAGGAATTTTACAGAGCTTTTCATGGCAGATGTGGACTCACTGAATGAGTGGAATGGACATTGGAATTACTTGGGTATGCTCTTTTGGTTTACTTATTCCTTAATTTAAAAATAATGAGGAAAAAACCCCCAAGCTTATGTTTCTCTAGATCTAAGTGGTTCTATGAACAATTATAATGTACTCCAGTAAAAAAACTTTCCCCCTGGAGCTCAAGCTTAAATAAGCCCATCTCTAGGAGGAGACTGTCAATAGACTGTGCCACTGCATTTGTTATTTGTTATTAAGCAAATGCTGCTCAATCTGATTGGTAAAAGCTATTTAGTTGCCTAAGTAATTGAGGACAATGCAAATAAGCCTTTCCTAAATGGTAATTAACAGGACCTTAGGAACAAAGTGTACACTTTAAAGGCTTAATCACTTCCATGTATTACTCTTGCTTTTTAAAATTTCCTCTGTGAACGATTCTAGGATACTGTTACACTCAGAAAAGCCAAAACCAGCTCCCGGCAGGCTTTAGTGTTCCTTTGACAGGTTCTTGTGGGTTCCCAGTCCGAGCCTGAATATGGTTGGAGTGGGGAGAAGTCAAAATGAGATGACATCTGAGCTGAACCTGAAGGGTCAGTAAGGATAGGTCAGGGGAAAAGGGAGGGAAGGACATTGATTCTGGCACAGATGACAGCATGAACAAAGTTTTGGAGATGAGACAAAGTGAGATGAGGAATTAAATGGCTTGTGCATATGAAACAACAATTTGTTGAAGCATAAAATAGGTGCTTGAAAGTGGCAAGAAATGGGCGTGGAGAGGCAAGAATCCAGGGATTTTACGGTCTTATGTGCCAATTAAAGGAGCTTTTGTTTTTTCATATACTGAGGAAACAATTAAATGTTTATGTACTCAGACATGTTTTAAATAGATTTCTTTAGTTACTGTAGTGGTTGTGGCGGGGAGGGAGGGGGAGATCAGTTTGGTAGTTCCAGTACTGGAATTACCATTTAGATTTGTTAGGGAACTGTGCAGAAGTTCAAGAAAGAGATCATGACAATGAAAACACGATGACCCAAAACCTATGGGATACAGCAAAAGCAGTTCTAAGAGGGGAGTTTATAGCAATACAATCCTACCTTAAGAAACAAGAAACATCTCAAATAAACCACCTAACCTTACACCTAAAGCAATTAGAGAAAGAAGAACAAAAAAACCCCCAAAATTAGCAGAAGGAAAGAAATCATAAAGATCAGATCAGAAATAAATGAAAAAGAAATGAAGGAAACTATAACAAAGATCAATAAAACTAAAAGCTGGTTCTTTGAGAAGATAAACAAAATTGATAAACCATTAGACAGACTCATCAAAAAAAAAAAGGGAGAAGACGCAGATCAATAGAATTAGAAATGGAAAAGGAGAAGTAACAACTGACACTGCAGAAATACAAAGGATCATGAGAGATTACTACAAGCAGCTATATGCCAATGAAATGGACAACCTGGAAGAAATGGACAAATTCTTAGAAATGCACAGCCTTCTGAGACTGAACCAAGAAGAAATAGAAAATATGAACAGACCAATCACAAGCACTGAAATTGAGACTGTGATGAAAAATCTTCCTACAAACAAAAGCCCAGGACTAGATGGCTTCACAGGCGAATTCTATCAAACATTTAGAGAAGAGCTAACACCTATCCTTCTCAAACTCTTCCAAAATATAGCAGAGGGAGGACACTCCCAAACTCATTCTACGAGGCCACCATCACCCTGATACGAAAACCAGACAAAGGTGTCACAAAGAAAGAAAACTACAGGCCACTATCACTGATGAACATAGATGCAAAAATCCTCAACAAAATACTGGCAAACAGAATCCAACAGCACATTAAAAGGATCATACACCATGATCAAGTGGGGTTTATCCCAGGAATGCAAGGATTCTTCAATATACACAAATCAATCAATGTGATACACCATATTAACAAATTGAAGGAGAAAAACCATATGATCATCTCAACAGATGCAGAGAAAGCTTTTGACAAAATTCAGCACCCATTTAGGATAAAAACCCTCCAGAAGGTAGGCATACAGGGAACTTTCCTCAACATGATAAAGGCCACATATGACAAACGCACAGCCAACATCTCCCTCAATGGTGAAAAACTGAAACCATTTCCACTAAGATCAGGAACAAGACAAGGCTGCCCACTCTCACCACTCATATTCAACATAGTTTTGGAAGTATTAGCCACAGCAATCAGAGAAGAAAAGGAAATAAAAGGAATCCAAAT